TCAAATTTTATATTTTACCAATTTCTTTCTTAAATTTTACTTTATTAATCTAATTATTTTTAATATTTATGAAAAAAAACTATCATTAATCTTATTGTAAATCTTGAATTAGGTTAATTCAAAACAAAATATTCACGTAACAGTTAAGGAGTCTTTAAGGCAAATCTCTTAAATATAAAAATTGCCTTTTGATTTCTAATATTTTTAGTCAAAAAAAAAAAAAAAAAAAGGTGAGAAAATCTCTTAACTTTTAACATTTCTCCGCCTTATCCTCCTTCCTACTCTATTTCTAAAAAATCTTTAGATTATCATCTTTGCAATGGCTAAAATTAATCTAAAATATTTATTTTAGTCACTAACATTTTTTCTTAGGTTAAATATTAAAACTTCATTTTTAACTCATAAATTTTTCTTAAGTTAAATCTATTTATTTTATTTTGTCATTTGTTGTACCAATTTTTTTATGTGTTTTTAAAATTTTTTTACATATATTTTTAGATGTGTTTTATTTCATGCTTTTTTTTTTCTCCATAAATACAACTAGATAATTATTCACTAATTAATCACAAAAAATTTTAAAGTACAATATAGTTTACATTGAACTGGCAAAATTAATTGTTTTAAGACATAAGTTTACAACTTTACGACTACATGTTAGTTGCTCTGGTCCTATTTAGTTATCCTACTTTATCAACTTTGTGTTAATTAATTTCATAATTTTATATAATAAATAAATAACAATTGAAAATTTTTTCAATTTAAATAAAAATATTCAATAAATACTATATTTAGGAGAAAAAAACTTCTTTAATGGTTATTTATTTATTATATAAAAGTATCAAATTAAACCTTATGTAAAAGTTAAATTAATTCAACTAAATAAATTAAAAAATATTAATTTAAAACACATTTTTTAATAAAAGACATAGATTTAATTACACCTGACCTTTCGAGTCAACTAGCACTTTACCAATTTAAGGTACATTTCCTCTCTTTCATGGGTGGATTTCAAACCCGCCTCTTGATAATTTGTTCAAAAAAAAAAACACAAATTTAATTTAAATATCAATAAAATTAGGTTTCTCCTCATAAATCTGACTCCGTCACTGATGATGATAAGACAAAACACACGTATTTTCTACGTGCTTGTTTGGCGTTTAAACTTTCTTCCTCCTAACACTCATAAAATTCACAATGTCAGCTATATACGACATTAACAAAATAAAAAAAAATAAAACAAATATACACGTATTAATATTCTTTGTTAAATACATTATTCATTTTTTAACTAATACAATTAGAAAATAAAAATAAAATTATTAAAATTTAAATTTAAA